ATGTGGTTAGATAAAGTGACTTAAACAAAAGGCCCTCTATGCTATAATGATGTCCATTCATATCAATTAAATTCCTAAAGGTAGACCTGCTGAATGGCACAGTGGTGGACAGCATGCTTCTTCCAGGAGCTGGTCATATGCCTGTTTACAGTCTGAACCCTAACACTTACCTGGACATGGCTGTTGATGAACTTGGCCTCTGGGTCATCCATGCAGATGCTGAGTATGGAGGAAACCTGGTCATCACCAAACTGGAAACAGGTAAAGTACTACTCCTGCTACACATACACAGTTCTGTGAAAAAGGTTTTTAGTCTATATATATATATAATAGTATATATATATATTATATATATTATATAACATACTACGTACACACTTACATACATAGCATATCTATTATATATATTACTGTAAACAGTAAACGATGTGTGTAGGTACGTGTATTTATAATTATATAATCATATTATACAGTGGGGCAAAAAAGTATTTAGTCAGCCACCGATTGTGCAAGTTCCCCCACTTAAAATGATGACAGAGGTCAGTAATTTGCACCAGAGGTACACTTCAACTGTGAGAGACAGAATGTGAAAAAAAAATCCATGAATCCACATGGTAGGATTTGTAAAGAATTTATTCGTAAATCAGGGTGGAAAATAAGTATTTGGTCACCTCAAACAAGGAAAATCTCTGGCTCTCACAGACCTGTAACGTCTTCTGTAAGAAGCTTTTCTGTCCCCCACTCGTTACCTGTATGAATGGCACCTGTTTGAACTCATCATCTGTATAAAAGACACCTGTCCACAGCCTCAAACAGTCAGACTCCAAACTCCGCCATGGCCAAGACCAAAGAGCTTTCGAAGGACACCAGGAAAAGTATTGTAGACCTGCACCAGACTGGGAAGAGTGAATCTACAATAGGCAAGCAGCTTGGTGTGAAAAAATCAACTGTGGGAGCAATCATCAGAAAATGGAAGACATACAAGACCACTGATAATCTCCCTCGATCTGGGGCTCCACGCAAGATCTCATCCCGTGGGGTCAAAATGATCATGAGAACGGTGAGCAAAGATCCCAGAACCACACGGGGGGACCTGGTGAATGACCTGCAGAGAGCTGGGACCAAAGTAACAAAGGTCACCATCAGTAACACACTACAACGGCAGGGAATCAAATCCCGCAGTGCCAGACGTGTTCCGCTGCTGAAGCCAGTGCATGTCCAGGCCCGTCTGAAGTTTGCCAGAGAGCACATGGATGATACAGCAGAGGATTGGGAGAATGTCATGTGGTCAGATGAAACCAAAGTAGAACTTTTTGGTATAAACTCAACTCGTCGTGTTTGGAGGAAGAAGAATACTGAGTTGCATCCCAAGAACACCATACCTACTGTGAAGCATGGGGGTGGAAACATCATGCTATGGGGCTGTTTTTCTGCCAAGGGGACAGGACGACTGATCCGTGTTAAGGACAGAATGAATGGGGCCATGTATCGTGAGATTTTGAGCCAAAACCTCCTTCCATCAGTGAGAACTTTGAAGATGAAACGAGGCTGGGTCTTCCAACATGACAATGATCCAAAACACACCGCCCGGGCAACAAAGGAGTGGCTCCGTAAGAAGCATTTGAAAGTCCTGGAGTGGCCTAGCCAGTCTCCAGACCTCAACCCCATAGAAAATCTGTGGCGGGAGTTGAAAGTCCGTGTTGCTCGGCGACAGCCCCAAAACATCACTGCTCTCGAGAAGATCTGCATGGAGGAATGGGCCAAAATACCAGCTACTGTGTGTGCAAACCTGGTAAAGACCTATAGTAAACGTTTGACCTCTGTTATTGCCAACAAAGGTTATGTTACAAAGTATTGAGTTGTATTTTTGTTATTGACCAAATACTTATTTTCCACCCTGATTTACGAATAAATTCTTTACAAATCCTACCATGTGGATTCATGGATTTTTTTTTCACATTCTGTCTCTCAGATGATAATGAGAAAGTGTACTTTATTGGTCCCCGTGGGGAAAATCCCTCTCTGCATTTAACCCATTCACTCAGTGAAGCAGTGGGCAGCCACTGGGCGCCCGGGGAGCAGTGTGTAGGGACGGTACCTTGCTCAGGGGTACCTCAGGGTAGCTGTTCAAGGGGAATCGAACCTTGAACTATATATATATTATTATATATATAATATTAATATATATATATATATATATATATATATATATTATATATATATAATATATATATATTACATCATATATTTATATATATATATAGTATATATATATATAATATAATATATATATATATATATTTATATATAATTATATATATATATATATATATATTATATATATATATATATGTTCCTCCTGATTGCATTTAGGAAAGCCTTTTTTTGACAGATGCAAGCTAAAATTGGAACAAAATTTACACTGGTATACTTATTATGAAATATATACATATATATATATATATACATATATATATATATATATATACATATATAACATATATATATATATATATATATATACATACTATAATCATATATATATACATACATATATATATATATATATATACATTATATATTTATATTTTATATATATATATATTGAATATTATAATATATATATATGATGAATTGAAAAATGGAAATATATACATATACATATATATAAAACAAGCATCAGAGTGGTTTCTGATCCATAGACTGTATTGAAAAAAAATCTTTCCTTATGGGCAACAGGAGGCGAAATGTATGGAAAAACGGGCCTAACCTTATTTGCTCTTTAAAACTTAATGATGAGTTTATGCTCTCAGGTCATTCAACAAGTCAGAAAGGAGGACTATACAGATCTAAAGGTCTTTCAAAGTTTTTCTGTACATGGGCTGCTTGTTCACTCATTCTAGTTCTTGCTCCTAACAGTTTTCAAAGGAGTGCTTTATTTATTTATTTGGACAAGTGGAGGTCAAAAGAACACGAAAGGCTAAAAAAACAACAGCTATTGCAAGTGATTACTAAAAAAATTGGAAAAAATTCTGGTAAAGACCTGATACAGGACCTGAGAAATGCATTTGGCCCTGCAACTGACCCATTTACTGTGCAGTTTATCGTTACCATAAATGGTCTCATCAAAGCATAAAAGTATAGCACGATTTTGATTCCCCATGCAATAATATCTGTAAAGCATCTGAAAGGAACTGGCTTCATTTTTCAGCATGACAATGATCCCAAACATACTTCTAATGTAGTAAAAGCATACCTGGATAGAACAACACACAATGCAACACTATCAGTCATGGATTGGCCTTCCCAGAGCCCAGAAACATTATTTAAGCAGTGTGGGATAATCTTGAGAGAGAACATAACAAAAGGCAGCCAACATCAAATGTCCTTCAAGATGCCTGGAGAACTATTCCCCTAGACTACTTAAAAAAATAGCAAGAAGGGTTCCCTAACATAGAGTTCAGGATGTGTTGTGGTCACAGCAAATATTTGCTTTAAAACTATAAGAACTGCATAAACTCTATTTTTTCCTATATACTATGTAAATTTAATAAATGCACCTGTATTGCATATTTTTTGGGAAATGACTGGTGACTCAAAACTTTTGCCCAGAGCAGTAAATCCATCTTTTGTACCCTCTATGGTTTGATCTCGCCACTTACATAAAGCAAGAACATATATCCATTCAGTCCAGCTTTGTTTCTTTATATGTTAGGAACCTTGGCAGTAGAGTCTGTGTGGGACACACAGTGTAGAAGCCATGACGCTGAAGGAGCTTTCCTAATATGTGGCACCCTTTATGTGGTCTACAACACACGCTATGGAGGACGTTCCACCATACAATGTCTCTATGACATCCATGACACCATTCACAGGTTGGCTTGTACACATGCAGATGCATGCACAGTATACACCTGCATACATACATACAGTATCTACATGACAAACCACTTTCTTTTCCCTGTGCCATCCCGTTCCCTGTGCAGCAATGAGAGTCCTGTGATGTTCTTCCCGAAACGTTACACCAGCCATAGCAGCATCCACTATCACCCCGGAGACAAGCAGCTGTATGCCTGGGATGACGGCTACCAGACGATATACAAAGTGGAGACACGCAAGAATGACCAAGTCATTGCAGACTAATATTACAACAGTGTTAATATACTGATGTTTGTTGAGGACATAGTTGCTTTGCATTGTAATACCCCTTAAGTGTAATTATTCAACATTCCCAAGAAAAATTGCTCTACTGGTGTTGTCACTGTTGAAAGATGTGGTAACCAAAGAAATGTTTTAAAATGTTTAATTTTAATGTGTAGTTCAAGGAAAGATGTATTTTAACCTAAAACAGGGTTGTTTTCTGTCTTGGTTTACCAAAATATAAGATTTACACTTTATGATTTTTGTGATCAAAAAACCTCACCGTAACGATGTTATCACTATATTTAGAGAAAAGTTTTATGAGGCAAAAAAGCAGAAATTCAAATAGAAAGTTTGCATTTAAACTCAAAACTGCCATTAACTGTGCCAACATATATAATGCATGCTATTTGTATGTGAATTTCTGACACTATACTGATATGCTGATATCAACTAGGCACCCCAGTGTTAAAATATGACAAGAAGCAGTTCCAGAACAAGTTTTAGTGTGTGATGAGTGGGGTGTGAGAATGTGTTGGTTAATTCTGCATCCTGTATTAAAATCTCTATTATCACTTGAAAATCATGCAAAAAAAAAAAAAAAAAAAAAAAGCACGTCTAGGAAAGCTAATCATAGGGTATTTTATAATCTGCTGTTGTTTAGTGCTCCTTTGCTGGCAATGGATGCTGCCTTTATCACTGTGAAGGGTTATAGACATGAATTCCATGTCTAACTGAAGCCTTTTTAAGCATTGTACTTTATACTTTGTAGCAACACAATAAAGAGCATTTACATGTCAGGGTTTTCAGTATGTTTTTCAGAATGATGAATTCCATCTTAAAAACTGTTTGAAATATGTAACATAGAACATGTCTTTGTCAGCTGAATAGCTGAGTTGCTAGCATTATTTCATTGCTGAAGTTGGTCAACAGTCTACCCAGTTGTTAAAATCTTCCAATCCTTCATGTATAAGTTGCTAATATAGTAGTATTGTAAAGCTTATTTATTGCACTTGAACACAGTAGAATTACACAAAAAAAACCCTACTTAAATCAGTATTGAAGACAATGAGGAGTGAAGATTCGCGGAGGCAGAGCAAGGAAAGGACAACCAAATGTCAACATTGTATATTCTGCAAACAGTAACAAAATAGTGCTGGGAACTCTCATTTCATTTACACTATACATTCTCATCGACATCAAACATTATGCCAAAAAGCAGATTCAGTTCATGTAAGTGTTGAGACGAGTGATGAAACGTGTCTCCCACTGAAAACGCATCGTCCAGCTGAAGAGAATAAGCTTTCTGGGATTTCCTTACATTTATGATTGAGCATGCATCGAGACATCAAAGAATAATGGTCTCAGTTTACACAGAACAAGAGTGCATGCTGCATTCATTCTCTGCACATTTGCATCTTCTTGTAGAATGCTCTTAAAATCAGAATCTTAAGAGGATTTACTTTTACATTATCCAGTTCTCCTCAAAGTACAGCAGGCATTCAGTAAGACTAGACTAAAACTTCAATACGACACATAAATTGTGGAATCTGCTTTTTACAGATTGTGTTGCCATAATCTGCAACAAACGTTATTTATTAGTTTGATATAGATGAAGGTTCTATTTTGAACTGTTTGTGACTTTTAGTGTGAGTGCGCTGAGATGGTTGGAAATGCATGTGAATCAGATGTAAATAGTGCGACAGCGCCCTCTCTTGGTTATGACCGGTTATACGTTTACCTTCGTTGTGTCCCCTTTGCATTAAAGTCTCAGAGTGGATTACTTCATTTCCCTTGTTTTAAACGTGGTAGAAAATGGTGATGTAAAAGATAGTAATAATTAACTGTGACAGAATAAATATATTTCATTTATTTGCAAAAAGTCAAAGTCAAAATACTGATAATAAACCACCATTTTCAAGAAGTTTCAAGAACTTTGCTCTTTCTTTTTTTGCTTTCCCCATTAATTATCACATGGCCTAACAGGTGTATTTGGGGACCCTTAAGGGCCTGACCCCAGGGTGGAGAACTGTGAAAATCAGTTCCATGCTGACCAGATACATTCGAATACTGCGTTTGCTTCAGTGCATTAATATTGTTAAGTCACATTTCACTATATATATCAGGTCTTAAGCTTCTATATCTTAGAAGAATTATATTGTTGTTTGATGTTTAGTCATATAGATTTATAGCATTTTCACATCACTCATTTCAAAGTTTCTGATTTACCCGCCCATTTTCGGTTGGAGATGACGTAGGGAAAGGGGGCGGTTCCAGAGCGGCCGGTTACTTTGACTGCAGCGGCAAGAAATCATTTGGACGGTGAATTTCACTTTTCCTTTTTGGGAACGAATGAAGTAGTGTTCGAAGGATTTTCTCATCACCATGAAGCGGAGAAGCAATACCAACGTCACCAGGAGGAGTTCAACAATTAAAAGGCGCAGTGAGAATTTGCGTTTTGATGAATTCGGCTTTGCTCTCACTAAAAAAAAGGACCAGAAACTTCATCACCGGTGTCACGATTACAGGTGCGGAACAGGTTCACGATACATAAGCTCCCGTTTAAGCAACTAGCCTGGCTTATTATGCTCCTCACCTGAGTCATTTACTCCTAAACGCTAGTTATTTCAGTATTCACTGTCTCAACTGTGTTCTTTAACTGTATGATTTTAATCTTGTTGATAATGTCAATTAATCACTTCAGTAAGTTATAGTCGTGGTAACATTAGCTGTCGGCTTTAAGAGTTTCTAACTATCTTGCTCTTAGAAGAAAGTTAAAGTCCTTTAAATTATTTATCGCCAACTGTATTGATCCATTTATTAAATTGAATCTAAGTTCAGCAAGTTGCTGAAACAAACGAGAGAAGCTGAGTTAAGCTGAATATTTATGTTAGACAAAGCTACTCTGCTAAAAACTATTTCAGGTGTACCTTGCAGGTTTAAATGTCCACACGTCATACATGTGAAATGATAATGAAAACGCAAAAATCTCTACTTGAATACTTCCTCCAGTGAGTATTGTATTACACTCTGACTAGCTGCAGTCATGGTTTGTCAGACACTGAGCACTTAAAGCCCAGAGTTTAGAATTACTGAAAATGACAGTATCTGTCTGATTGAAAAAGCTGATGAATCAGCCCAAGCTCACCATGTTGTGTTGTCTATCAGCTACCCCCCGCTGAGCTCAGTGAGGGTGAAAGAGCTGTGTGAGCTGCTCAGCTACTGGAATGGAGCCAGCTTTATCTGCAAGAGCCAAGTAAGACTTGTATAAACTACAAAAAGCACTGATGAAAATCTTGTGTTTTGCACATTTGGCAACCATTCGAACATGCTTGTTTTCTTCGCACTCTTGCTGTGTTTTCAGATTGAGCGATTTATCAAAATGGGTATCCCTCCAAGCCTGCGCGGCAGAGTATGGAAGTGCCTGCTTACCACTGATATTTTGAGAGATGCCAGTGACTTCAACTACCAGGTAATATACCATGTGACATCCAAAAGAATGACATTGCAAAGCTGCACACTTTAACACTGAATTGTCATCATAAAGTTGCCCACAACCGTGTACAACCGCTGTAAAAAAGTATTTCCATGTTTGCTTTGTTTGCTTTTTATTTACTGGTGGAACATTCTGGCTTCATGGAACATGTCTTAAACAAATATAATTTATATGGCATATTTTTATAGATTGAGCAAAAAGATGGAATTGCGCAATATCGAGGGGGGAAATATTTGTCAGACTGATATCAGGACTGCTGGCCATGTCACTGAGTTAACACTTTGTGGAAAGGTGCATTGTCACCCTAAAAAAGTAACTTCATCTTCGCCAAATATATTTTACAATAAGGAAAGGGAAAAGGTGTCCAAATTATGAGCTTTGAGTTTAGTGTTGATGTCATGCTTGCCATCTCCTCTGGCTCTTTATCTGGCATCAACCCCTTGTCACATGAGTGGAGGAAAGTCCCTTTTTTCCTTCTCACAATCGGTGCAAAAGTACCAGACAAAAGTATGAGCATCATCTCTTGGCCAATATAGATTGATGATTCATCAGTGAGCATCGCTTTCAACTGCAGCCCAGGATTGTTTCTCTTTAGCTCACTGTAAGCTTATTTTCTTCTGTGTGCATGTGAGTGCTGGTTTTCGTTTCAGTTTCAGTTTTATAGCTCTTTGCTTTTTCAGCTGGAAGCTCTCTTGATGAGCTTCCTTTAAATCACATGCAAACTACAGACTAGTTTGCATATTTAGGTTTCTGCAAGTATTATTTGCAATGTGATTCCATAATTTTCTTTTTCATCTACTTGATGTAGAGAAGGACAAAACACGCTATTAATTAAAATAAGTGAATTTAATATGGTTTAGGTTTGTTTCGTGAATCCAGAATGTTCAGCTCTTAAACAGAAATAGTTTTGAGACATATTTTTGATTTCTTTATTTGCTGCAAAGTAAAAAAGTTGAATAAACATCCTCCGAGAGTGGCGATTCCATATTTTTTTTTCAATATATCCGTTTTGGCCAGGAATTTTAAAAGAATTTGGCTACCATTTAACTTTAGTTGTGTCATTGAGCCATTGATTAGTCTTCCTTGGAAAAAAATGCTGGCAATTTGCCCAAGAAAACAACAAAAACAACAACAAAAATCCCCTCATTTCAGATTTTAGATGTGTTGACTAAATATTAGGATGGTTTATACTTTTCATTTGAAAATAAATTACAAATACTCCCATGAGATCTGGGCACTTATTTCGTTTTTAGTCATTTTTGACATTTCTGCAACCTTGGAAAATGGATGAGAAATGTTTCTGCCCAACTGGACATGAATGAGAAATTCTTGTGTGCCTTCACATTACGTGCAGTGTCACAGGTTTGAAACCCATGTGCTTTTCCAATGATATGTCAGATTCAGATTGTACTGATACTGCAGTGTGTCACTGCGGGAGCAGCTCCAAGTTTTCCACACAGTAGTTACTGTTTGAAAAACATTTTATGTCAAACAGTGGCGGCCTGAAAGCGCACAAAAAAGAATAATTTTGCAACTTCACTGTATGAGTTCAAGTGAAACAAAAATGTGTGAACAGCTCGTGAGATGAAGTTGCAAAGAAGGGGATAAGTTCTACATCTGCTGAATCAAACCCAATTTGGCAATTAAGTAATGTTAACTAGCCAACATCAGTAGCTGTGTTATTTCCTGTAACACTAAGCAGTAGGACTGCATCATACAATAACTTGGCTAACGATAATGTTAGCTAAGCACAGGCCTAGAGACCTGCAGCCTGTAGTTGCTGAATCTCACTTAATTAACCAAAAATAACTGAGAAGGGGGGAGAGAGAGAAAATATCTCTCCCCTTCTCCCTTCTTTACTTGCAACATAATACCAAATAAGAAAAATCTATTTGTTAATTACCTCTCTGGTAATAATAGCAATGACAAAATAGGTAAAGTAGTTATGTGCTGTAAATGTTGATTCACTAGTGGTGTTTGAAAAAAGTCGGTAAAACATAGTTTTGCAATATTTTGCATGGTGATATTGTATCGATACAGATACACCAAATATCAGTATTTTATTAAATAATTTAAAGTACTCTGAGAATAATACAAACAAGAGGGCTTATCTCTTGCACCACCATCCTGAAATAGTATTAGTTACACAAACCTGCATTACATTGATTCAACAAGGGGGGGAAAAGCATCCAACACTGAACATACTTAGTTTGACATACCTACCTTCTATGTCAGAGAGTGCTAAAAGCTCAGTCAAACAAGTAAAATAGGTCAGCAAGGTCCTTGCATCTACACAAGAATAAATAAATCTGTGGCTGCCTAGTAGAGTTGGATGTCTCAAGACCATTTTACATGGTCTTGGTGTTGTCTTGGTCTCGGATCCCTCGGTCTTGTCTCGGTCTTGCTGTCTCAGTTCGACATAGTGGTCGAGAGATTTGGAGTCAACAGTATCCATGACACACAACGTAGCGTTCGATAATGTGTCATGCGCAAAAGCATCAGCTCTAAGAGCTATGCTTAGAGAGTGCTTTGTAGTGAATCAGAAGAGTCGACTCCCCTTGAGCGAGAGCCGGCTCCTCACTTAATTTCCTTTCGCTGCTCAGCTCTCACACAGTGGCTCCGCTATGCTCCAAGCCCTCCATAATGTGGCCAATCACATGTGAGGATATAGGATAATATCATTATGTAAAAAACAGAGAGGGTGAGAGACGCGACAGTCAAGTGGAGCGTGTGTCTGTCCCCTCAGTGAGTGAGTGAGACATTAGACAGCGGTGAGGAGGGCTGTGCGAGTGCATCACAAAAACACATAAATATGCCTGACACCCGTAAACGAAGCAGCATCTGGCTGCAGTTTAAAGACTTTTTTTGTCTCGGTCTCAGTCTTGGTCTCATCTCGACTTTGTCTTGGTCTCGATACCCTCTGGTCTTGGTATTGTCTTGGTTTAGGCGGTCTTGACTACAAGTCTACTGCCTAGTCATTTTTGGGGGGAATTTTTTTGTAACTTTCATTGATCCATTTTCTTCGGCTTATCCAGTTCAGGGTTGCTGGAGCCTACCCCAGCTGTCGTATGCTGAGAGTCGGGGTGCACACTTGACAGGTAGCCAGTCTGTTGCATGGTTACCACACAGCAACAGACAACATTTGGCCAATTTAGAATCGCAAATTAGAATTAGAGAGATTGTCAAAGGTTTGCAAATAATTGCTCTTTAATTTATATATTCAGACAGATTGCCAGCATGTTGCCATCAGTCTGAATGACTCGAGTCAACTGGCTGCCAGCTGGTTTTATTCTGATTATATTCCTATATAACCGGAAGGTTGCTTAGTGCAAATTCAGTAGTTAGATGTGAATTTCATTTATTAAAGTCAATAAAGAAGAACATAAAGACCCTGCTGTATCCACTGAAATGCAATTTCATGGATTAACAATATACATAAGATAACAACTGAACTTTTTAAAAATGTTTGAGCCAATACGCTCTTTACCTAACACCCTGTTTTTTAATACCCTAACCCAGCTGCTCTGTAGAGCCTCAATGTGTTCAAATGCCACAGTTTCATTGAAGTTTTATTCATCCATGTTACTCTACATGCATTTAGTGCCTTTCTCCTTCAACCATTAATGTTATTGATGGATTTCTAGCCAGAGTATATGTTGTATTCTTTTCAACAGACATGTTTGTCTGAGGTGCGAGGACCTTTGGTCGACCTGGGAGTCAGTGAATACGGCATCTTGTCTGCAATCACTACACTGAGCGACACTCAGAACAACCTGGGCTTAAACCGTCAACAGTCCACCAGCCCTTCAAAGCCCCGCTACTCTGTCGATGACATCACACTCTTCAGACAAATCGCCCTGGACCTGCGTGAGTTCAGACACTCACTTTACATAGTGTTGCTGTATGTTGCACCATGTGTAGCTGAAACAAATAAAAGTAATGCACTTCATTTGAAATGCCAACAGAGCGTTCCTTCCCTACTCATCGGTCCTTGATGGGAGAAAGTCCCGAGGCCATCGAGGGTCAAGCGAAACTCTTCAGGGTCCTAATCGCCTGCGCCAAATACAACCCAAAGGTTGGATACACCCAAGGTAATGGGACGAATGACTGAACTGTTTGTGCATGTTTTCACTTCCCTGCATTTTAACTGGATATACTATAGTGGTACCCTTTCCTTTTGTCTGCCTGTGCTACACAGCAAATAACATTAATAAATTAGCAACATTTTATTGGTCTTATGCTACATATTGTGGGAGATTTAAACCTAACACTGTGCTCCCTCATCAGTCAGCACACTTTTTTTGAAAGCTGCTTCAGTTATTCTATAGATACCTGCAGTACATCATGTGACCACTTGATGGAGGTAGATGACCTTTTAATACAGAGCAGAGTTGACGCTGTTCAAGTTGTATTTAAAAATGGCCCAGTAATCATATCTTTTCCTGTATTAATTGCACATTTCTGTCATGATGCACTTTAGAATAATTTAGTCTTAAAACCTAAAGATCTGCAGAAATAACTACATGAGCTTTTATACCTGCTTTTTTGTTTTGGAATTCTGAAACATCACCATCACCTTTTCTCTGTCTTCCCAATTTTCTTCTTAAATGTATAACATCAGGGTTAGAGGTGCATTTTAATTTTGTCTCTGTAAGAATACTGCTTAGTGTAAAACTGTAGAGAACATTTGTTATTTTGTAAATCTTATATAACCGAAAGCTGATCCCAGTTATCTGCACCAAATAGACAATACTCATAATTACATTTTGTATCTTGTTTAGGAAATGTTTATTAGAAAACAATGTTGTTTGATGGCCCTTTATGAACAATGGTTTCTAGTGATCTTCTGCATGACATTATATATTCTAGAAGTCCTATTTTGAATGTCTTTTAAAATTTATGGGTGGGAGAAAAATTAATTTATGGCCAGTTTCATTGACAGTGTTGGTGCGCTTGACAATGTCATTGTGCAGCAAGAAAACAATTAACTGATGTCAGACTAATCATCCAGTCAAAGCAAGTCAAACCTGAGGATAGACACAGCATGTGTCTGAAAATTTTCAGTTATATGCTGTGTATAACATTATTTACATGATGTCTGATGATTTAGCACAGTGCAGAGATCATAAGCAGCAACATTCTTTCTTTGCCTGTGCAGAATGTGGTGACACACACCCGTGATTAGCTGGATCTTGAGCACCCCTATAAACACGTGTATATTTTTCTTGACAAACCATATTAATGCTACCTTTTACCCTGTGCTTCATCCAGGAAAAAATGTGTGTGCATTTTACAGGGATGTCCTACATAGCAGCAGTGCTGCTGATGGAGTTGGGGGAGGAGGAGGCCTTTTGGGCTCTGGTGGCTTTGTTGGATAAACCCAAATATCTGGGTGAAATGTTTGACCTTAGTCTCACCAAGTAAGAAAACTTCAGTTCTTATTGTTGGCCTTTATACAAATACAAAGAAAATACAACCAGAGTGTGGTTTATGTGTAGATATAACTGATGTAAATTAAGGATAAGAAAAGAAAAATTCAGTTTTATCTGATAATTGGGTTATCATGAAACGATCATTACAAACCTTTTGTTGTTGGGGTTTGTTTTTTTTGGTGCCCCTGTGTGTCCCTGTGTGTCTCTGTGTCTGTGATCTGCTAGACTGTCTGGCTTTTTCTCTTCTTGTTGATTAGGGTGCAGCACCAGGTAAAGGTGTTTGACCAGTTCTTAAAACACAGGAAGCCCGAGCTCTCCAAGCACATGGTGAGTCGTTTTACTTTCCGCGTTTCACTATTTGGGTTTCTGCAAACAATGAAAGTTGGATGATAAACTTAAATTTTTGTTAAATTGCTATCTGAGTTACAAAAATCCTGGAAGTAATTTGTTTCAGTTTAGGGATGCCCAAAAGTCACATTATTTTAAAGGGGGGGACAATTTAGTGTCCTGTTGTGCCCACAAGAGGGCACACCAATACAAAGAGACATGTAACTGTTATATAGGTAGATTTGTCTCTGCATGAACATCCTTACACATCTCAAGGTAAAGAAACAACACGAATAAAATTACAGAATGTAACATGAAACATTAAACACCCTGCTTAGAGCAGAGTTTTGTTGTGAACTTTTTGCTAACATTACTACAGGATTGTTTATGAATTATTCGAGCCCTAAATTGGCCCCATGCTGTGCCTGAACATTAGAGAATTTTGTATTTTTAAAATGTGTATTAGACACAAGCTTTAACTGTCTGTATACAGTTATTGTTAATGGGTTTTTACACATGCAAAAACATGCTGAAAGAGTTGTTAGAACCAAATTAGGATTTTTACAAACAAAGCAGAACTAGTAAAATGTTAGAAGTCAGGACATTTGAATTTAGTTGCCCATGTAAAGTCCATTCAATTATGCTCCCTAATTACAGTGGACCAAAACATTGTCATCTATAAGAATCAGGAAGCTGTTCTGACTTTGTCACTAAGTACAGTGATCATGTAAGTGAATTACATTAATGGAACACTTTGTATTCTGTGCAGCAGACACATGGTGCTTTTTGCCATCAGATGAATATTCCATTTCACAGTAAAATGTTTGTTTTTACAACTAGCAGCTAGAGTTGAGAATATAACAGGGTGCTTGAAATCCTTGAAAATGCTTACATTTTAATATTGTCTTTTCAAGGTTTGAAAAGTGCTTGAATTTCAGATGTGGTGCTTAAACGTGCTTGAAACCGTATTTCATTCACCACAAATAACTATCTGACCAAGTAGTTTTCTTATCAGATAGAGAAATTAAATGAGTCGCAAAGTGTAAAGCAAAATTCCTCCGCCTGGGCCGCCTTGCACCTCTGCATCGTCAGTCTGTTTCAATGCGCCACCTGGCCCCTCCCCCCGGACAGTCGGGGATGAGTGCACAAACTTGACGATGCTGTTTTAATGAGCGTTTGATAGAAAACGACACTGGTGGAATTTGTACTCTTGAGTCACATGACAGATGAGATGATTTTCAAGTATACATACATAACACATGCTAATTTTTAAAACTATTATTATTATTATTTTGCTAGCTATCAAACTTGCTGGAGAAATGATTGAAATGCACTGAGTGTGATGCAGTATGGCAGCGCTATTATAGTAGTTAGTTAAGGCATGGTGATATATGGAATATGCTGTAAGCTAACATTACTTAGCAGTAGCAGTAATGTGAGCTACTTCACTCAAGTGAAAGCTTTAAACGTTAGTCCGATATTTAACTAGCCAACTTATGGCATAAGCAAATAATGGTAATAAGAGGGACTGATCAATATGGGCAATGGGAATAGCCACTTTTCTTTGCTATTGAAGTTCCCTGGCTTTCACTCAAAATCTGTTTATTGTGAGCACCTACACATTAAACAACTTAAAAATTATAAATGGCTTCTAGTTCACATTGAGGCCTGTGGGGCACTATCAGCCACTGAGACAACAGACAAATTAGAGTGTTTGCATAACAGGACCTGACAGGAAAAATGCGTATGAACCCTGATATAAGCAAACACGGAAAACTTGGTGCTTATTTGGGTGCCTTTGTTTCTGCTGGCATTATTTGGGGAATCTAAATGGCATTGCTAAAACCACAATAACCGAAAGATTTTAATGTGTGTATGTGTATATACACACATTTGTGTTTGAGACCAGATACAGCAATGTGATGAATGATTCATCTGCAAGCTGAGGCCCTGTAATGTCTCCATCATCAGTTGGGCCTCCTTTCCCATTCAGTCTGTTGGTTCGTTGCTTGTCAAAGTTGTAAAATGAGTGATTTTACGCGGGGCAAAGACCTACAGCTGTGCAGATTTCTGCCACCAAGCCTACTGTTACTGAACAAGTAACACTTGTTTCATTTAGTGAACCACAGATTGTACTTTTTTTTTTTTTCATTTGAGCTTTTCTTTACAGATGTCAGTTTATTCTGTGTACCACATACTACACTAGACATTTTTAAAATGTCTGTATCTAGGCTCAGATTTGCAATAATGATATTCATGAGAATATAGCAAACCAACTACAGAACGCTGCTTTATCTGTGATTGCAGCTTGAAGGCAGCAGCATTTTTATTAGTGCAAACAAAGCGAAGGGTGTTTTAGATCTTTCTTTTCCAACCATATGAACTCTGTATGTGAAAGTCAAATGTAAGCACAAAAGTAGTAGCGCTTACCCCAGAAATGTTAAGTAAAAGTATATCACAACTGTTTAATACTTTATTCATTGTTAAATTAAAGTCACTTAACCTCATAAGTCTTCAGTAGCCTGCACTCAATTGTCTTATATAATAAACCTTACAGATATTGCCTGCCAAGGATGTTTTATCTTAGGTTGTGCTTGTTAACTAGTTGCTTAATGCTCTGCTTTTCTACCGTGTAGCTGCGTCAATTTCTGTTCGTCACTTGCTTTTTCTGTGCAACATGCCTTCGTGGCCTGGTTGTACTTTGCAGACTGCAGTGCTTTGTTGGAGGTTGTTGAAGTAGCTCGGGTTTTAAGTCGTCATCTGAGGCTTATGCACAGTTCTTGTTCTCTTGTTGTTGCTGTAAACCATGGCCTATGCCGCTGTGGGTTTTGGGGGGGCTTTTTTGTCTTTCTTTTTTTTTTTTTTTTTTAATCAATATACATGAGTTTACCAATTTAAAAAAAAAAAAAAAGAATTCATTATTTAGATGAATAATGAACAACAAATAACATCAACAAGGTCTTGTTTTCCCTACAAAAGTATACTTATTCAAATTAGTCTCGCTCTGTATTTTCCTGTGTCATCCACACTCCACCTGCGGTGACTCTATGTTCCATTAGTGTGGCCAGCCTCAGTTTGAGAACCACCATAAATTTATTCACTGATACCATTTGTGCTGATTAATTGTCTCTGAAGGCAAAACACACACACACACACCAGGGGTTTATTGTAGGCAGTTTTTTCCTCTCCAAACAGAAGAAGCCTATTAGAGATCAGGGGTCAGCATTTCCTTTGTAGTAGAGCTGTTCATCAGAGTCGAGGCAAACCAGCTGTAAACAGATTTTTGTACTTGTGCTGCACACACCAGACCTGAGCACACACAGCCAGGAGGCATCTTGAATGCCACACTGTCATAAAATAACCAGAGTGTGTGTTCTTTCTTTTAAAGTATATGGTTACAGGAAAACACCAAAAAAGCCTTTGCAAGGTTGCGTGGTTTGATTTGATATACCTTTATTAGTCCCACAAGGGGAAATTTCCTTGTATGACTGTTATCATTTTATGTAGTGGAAGGATTTTTCAGTAAGGAAATTGGCAATCAGTACTAAAGGGTCATGCCAAATCAGTCCTTCCTGATTTTTTTTCCATCCTCCCTTCAGGAGTCAGTGGGAATCTTGTCAGTCCACTTTGTGATGCCGTGGTTCCTGACCCTTTTCACTTCCCTGCCCTGCTGGGACTCTGTTCTGGCTGTCTGGGATCTCATCATTCTACACGGTGGGTGCACAGTCACAGAACTTCACTTGGGTAACTGGCTGCTGGCCTGCAGATTTCAGTAAAGATGACAGTAAAAGTGGTCTTCTAATCTAATTCTGGGCACAAAAGCAAAAACTGCTAAAATGTTAAACTACTGCTTTAACTTCTTCCCACAGGCTTGTCAGCTGTCTTCCGTACCGCTCTGACCATTGTTGAGCTCTTGGAGCCCCGACTAATGGACCTGAAGGATGAAGGAGCAATATTACCCCTTCTGTTAAGAGTACCTGTTGATGTGTAAGTAAAATGAGACTTGAGCTTGAGCTTTCTGAATGCTCTGCTGTTGTAGCATTAGTGCACAGTTATCCTTCTATTTCTGACATCTATCATTGTCACATGTCTTTAACTTTCATGCATTAATATTTTCCCAGACCACCCTCATGCTTGAGCTGCATGGGTACAATGTGCTGCACATTTCTCAGAGCCAAGGGCTCAGTTTTTAGGCACTAAATAAAACTCCAGGCAGCTCATGAATATCAATCAGCTCATCAGACTGGACATGTTTGACATCAAGCATTCCAGGAAAAATAGAGTGTTAGTGTTTTGGCGAGGTTGTTTTCGTCCATGTCTGGATTAAACATCCTTTCTGCTAAATTAGTTTCTTCAATGGCAGCCCATGGTGCTTTTGGTTGAAGCCCTCTGTCTCTCTCTCACTATGCTGAATATAAACGTCACATGCCGACGGACATGTTTTGTTGACATGGAGCTGTAGTTATGGAAACTCAGCAGGGTCACTGGGTTTGTGTATACAGTCTGTCTGTGAGAGACGTGCAGCTGCACAGTGAATATTAAAATTCAGTTTATCATATTTGTTTTAATAGATAAGCTCCCTTCAGCTACTTGAATTCTACCCTCCTGTGTGCTTCTCATTGTAGACAGGTGACACTGTGTGGACCCAAGGTTGTTTACCTTGGACAAAGATCTGTAAAGTAGACCCTGGACAAATGGAGGCAACGCTGCCAAGTAGTTTCTATAAGTGTAACTGTGTCACAGGTAGTGATAAAGCACTTTATCATGAGCCAGAGATGGAGCATATGTACTAGATACGCACCAGTGACTTGCAAAGTAGATTAGAAAGGACCAAATATGCAGGACTATTGAGTGTAACAGCTTAATAACCGTTTAATCATGCTGTACTTGTAACATTTATAGCTAACTTACATTCCGCTTAAAAAAGCAATCCGTTGTTTTCTTTTATGTTACAAGGAAAGAAACAGAACATTTCGATCCATCTGTGAACCTCTTCTGCAGTTTGTAAAAGCATGCATCAAGGGCAGCCCTGACAGGCCCGTTTTGTTCTAGCCCTGGCGTTCAGTGGGCAGCCTGCCATCACGTCACATTGAGAAGTCCTTGTTGCCTGCTTGGCATCATTGCAGAAGCTTGGTCAGAAGTCAACACTAAGTGGTCCGGCTGTCTCCCAGGGCAGGATCTCCTTACAGTGGGAAGATACTGCCGAAGAAAGAGTGAAAGGGGGCAAGTGGGGAAAGGAAAAGGGATGAATGGGGGGGTCAGAGAGGGAAATGGCTTGGGAGAGATGGTACAATTTTTTTTTTTTTGGGGGGGGGGAGTGTAAAAGAGAGGGACAAAAATGAAGGAGGAGAGGGGCTGAGATCTTCAACCTCTCCTTAATTTTCTTTAAGCTTCTCAGCTCTTTTACTCTGTGAATGGTATAAATGGGTGTTGTCATGCAGCCACATAGGCCATTCTGATTAATGAGTGGTTGAGAGGCTCATCCATCTCATGTGACTGTCTGTCTACACTTGGCTGTCAGTCAGCTGTCATCTCAGACATAGGCTATAATAATGACTCCAAACACAGCCTATATCACCAGTCAAGGAGCAGCTTCTGTATTTCATACATTATTTTTCTTTCTTTCATTTAAACTCTTGCTATTTGTTTTTCAAGGGACTCTTAGAACCACTTCTCATTGTTCTTTCTTTTCATTCACATTTTTTAAAAAATCTCAGGTGATTACAGATTAAAATGAGATATCACATTCTTATGCATCAGTATGTATAAGCTGTTAAAACTCTTGAATTACTCACAGCTGTTCTGCATGTAAGTGCTAATTTAGCTCTTAACTCTATAATTCGATTTGCATCTGTGATCCAGGTATGTGAGTTTAATAGATGTTGTTCTCACTTTTCTTAATCTTTCTGTTCATTTCATTCATTTATTTATTCATTTCAGGCACAACAAAATACATATATTGAACATAAAGTGCACAAAACCAAAACCAAAAATCACCTGAAAAGGAGTGGGACGAAGAAAACTTATTAAATCCCACCCCTATACTCACTCATCGACAAATTTAAAAAGATTTGCATAGTAAGTTAGTCAGCAGCTTATGGAAAATTGTTTTTCAATTATCTACCCTAAAATTGTATTACTGAGCTCCAGTTGAATTCATTAGCGTACTTTTTCTTTCATATTATAAAAATCTATTTTCTTTATCAACTGAAAATGGATTAGAATTTTTTTTAAACTCTAGTATGTACTTTTGGCTGCCCCTTTAGTTCCAAGTGGTTGGCACAGCGGCTGGATACACATGTTTTGATTTGGCACAGATTTTCCACCAGATGCTTTTCCTGACACAACCCTCCCTATTTTTAGGCTTGGGACCAGTACTAGGAATACATTAGCTAGTGACCCCCTGAGGCTGGGTTTAATGACATTCTCCCTTATTGTTAGCTGTTAGCTGCCACGTGTCTTGAACACAGTATTTGTTATGATTATGCTCATCGCTAGTATTTTGTCGATAATGATAATGATCAATATTCTCATTAATATTGTTGGTATAAACAAAACAACATAATGGTGATGATGGCTCTTTAAAAAAAAAAAAAAAAAAAAGATAAACTCAGTGATATTTTTTTTCTTTCTGTTGAGGATGTATATATGTACCTTTGTTTACAAGACCTGTTAAAAGTATGCAGGCTATAGCAGTCTGTCAGCATAAAGCCGGCACCTTAAAAACAGCATAAAGAACTTGCAGATTGGCAACTCCAGCAAATAAATTAAAAAAGCAATAACTAGATTTTTCAGGTGGAAAAAAAATGTCTACATATTCACAAAAATTCAAAGCTGTTTTTGCAGTGGAGTTTTTGCCCCCTAGAAAAGCTTGGCTTTTGACGCTAAGTGAAATTGGTCAGAATGCACTGCACCAAAAATCTTCTTTTGATTGGTCACCAGATGACTGCCCTGGCTACCCTTTGTTTGCCTGGAAGACGCTAACTTGTTTGCAAACACTCACCACCTACTCGTTTTAAGTTTCACTGCTGCTTAAAGTACAACCCAAACTGGAAATGAAGAATGTTCACCTTCAAGTTAAAAGCTGTGCGGACTTATTTCAACGGCCGGTTTTCGATTTGCATTTGCGTTTGTTTTTGTTTTTTTTCTCAGTTTCAGTACTACTTGGTAAGACGTTTGCAAGTGTTTGCAAACAAGTTATCTTCCATGTGAACTATTTGCAGTACTAAAATGAGCTCCATTGCGCTTCATGTCATGAAAACTCTGGAATCGTGTCCTGTAGGGTTCAAGTTTGTGCAACTCCCACACACCCAGCTCACGCAATTCCTACCGCTTGGAGTCACTGCCACCCTCTACTGCACAGAACACCAAGGCAGATTGCACAGAAACTTCCTTGTGTGGTGTAATATGATGTGTTGATGAGGGGAAATAAAATAGAGTGCTGTAAAAGGCCTGCATGACGCACAAATTCACATATTAGTTTTTCAAACGCGCGTTTCAAAGAAAAGTTTTACATGAATTTAGAAAACAAAAAATAGCCAGGAGGTTGCTGTTTAACTACCTGCTGTGGCTGAGTAAAACACGTGTTCTGGGTGGAGCAACTGAAAAGATTCTTTGTCTACTCGTTTGTGTTTGATAAACATTTCAGGCTTTTTAACCTCAAAGGTTTTAATTGAACTTTCAAAACAAGAGTTCTTATCTTTAAAAAGACATTATCTGTCCTGTCACTCCACCTTGGTTGTTTCCATTATGTCATTTCTTTGTCGTGTGTGTGTGTGTGTGTGTCAGCCAGAGAGAAGCCTGCTGTGCACTGTCCAGCTCTGAAATGTTTTCACTCTAATCTTTTTTTTGGTTTGTTTTTTTCTTTATTTTGAGGGGCGGGGATTGATTTTTATGTCTGCCCACTAACAAGCTGTTACCTAAGCTGTTACTGCCACGAACTACAGACATATTTTGTTAATTATTTTTATGAGTGTTGTTATCTTGACTTGAGGTCGAGTCAGCCTCATATTTAGCTGGAGTCAGGAGGCTGCACTATAGAACCTCTGATAAAGCAGCCAGATGCACTGCATTGCTTTTAAATAGTTTATTCCAGAGGCTGCTGGCAAACCTATTCAGTGCTTATTCAGTATGTTGCTTTTAGGTACATTTGGAGAGCACAGCATGTAGAGACACGTAAAACATATAAAACTCTTCAAGTTAAAAGTTACTTATTTGTAGGTTTACAGTCTTCATTTTCAAATAAAATTGGCTTGAATTTACTTTGTTTTTGTTTTAAATTTTGTTTCAAATCACCTTGAAACTTTCACTACCCCTCCGACTCATTTATCGCTTTCTTTCAGTAGCTACTTTTCATTGTGCCGTCTTCAGTATCTCCTGTGCAGAGTCCTGTCTCTGTGCTTCCCCCTCTGCACCCCCTCCCACTCACTTCCCATACACAGCATTCTCAGCCACCAGTCCGATCTCTTTCTTTTTTGTTTACCCCCTCCTTCGTCAATTCCCATAAAACAGTGTGGGTTATCCCTCCTCCCCTGTGTTCTCATTTTCTTTTCTGCAACCCCCTTTCCTCTCCTATGCGTCCTTTCATTCATTCATTTATCCACACTGCCACTCTAGTTCAGCTGGAGGGGTTGACACATCATTTGTTTATTTCACAGTGACAAGGGTGGCTTACAAAAAAGTCTCTGCTGCATTCACGCTGCGGGTTGCTCAGTTGCTCTTAGTGAATCAAACTTTTTAAAATACTTTCTTAGAAACCTGATACAAAAAATGTCTGGGATTGATCAGCCTTGTGCTGTGTCGTATCGAGCATGTTTGCTCTTTGAGAAATTCAGTCTATGAGAGAAAGTTGACAGAAACGTCTCGGTGGTTTCTTTAAAAGATCTAACACCATCTGGTATATACTTTGAACTACTTTAAAAGTACATTAATTCCTTTTTTTTTTTTTAAAAACAACAAAAAAACAACCTTATTGTATATTTCTACCATATTGATAATGCGTTGCGATGCGTTGTATTGTAAAGAGTTATTAGGTACTGTAATGAATTTTCTTTCCTTTCCCGAATCTCTCCCTGTGGCAATAGAGCTGAAAACGTCTGTTGGTGAAAGTGCTCTGGTCAGTGACCTCGTCTTAACCACACCTTCACAATAGACCATTGAAGTTAGTTTGATGCAGATCACATGTTATTTCCAAAGCCATGTCTTATGTCTTTCACTTTCACTGTGTTCCTGTTAAACACTGAAGTTCAGCGATGATCTTTAGCTTTGAGAGTTTGTAAGTAAAGTGGATGTCGATACAACTTCAGATCATTTCAAATTATACCACTATAGTAATTCTTTGTCCAACTAAAGAACTCTTATCCAACTTACAAACTTGAGCGGGCAAAGTTTCAGTAAAAGCAATACTGGTCTGCTCTGTTTGTTTCTTTAGTGGTGCAAGCTTCCGGAGGATTATGGTTTATTTAGTTTTGTAAGTAAAGTTTTGTGACAATTGAAAGAACCGTTCTGCATCTCTTGCCTGGTCTTCATAAACTGGAACATTTTTGTGTGTCGTGTATGTTTATGGCATCAGTTTGGTTTGGTGAGGAAGGATTTCTGCTCATCGTACATCAGCAGCACATCACCGGCTCTGAAACGTTTGCTTGATCTTTTAATGAGCTGACAAAAACCCAGATCCATCAGAATTCTGCCTCATTCATCTATCTTCTTCCCACTCATTTCACTCAATTTTCATTTTCCGGAAAGTGCTCTGGCTGTTATGTGCAGCCATCTGTCATTCTATGCTGGGACATGGCTGAACCTTGTGATCTATCCCAATTCCAGTTAAAAATGGTTTTTAACTAAAATTTCTCGTCTGCTTTTAGAGTGAACTGAAGATCAATATGTGTATCAGGACTCTGTGTTAAGTACATATTGAAGTCGGGTTTATTTATGCTAGATGTTCTTAAAGCTGATTCCCCGAAGCATAAATCAATCAATCAATCAATCAAAATTTATTTATATAGCACATTTTTAAGACCGAAGTACACCAAAGTGCTTTCCAGTAAAATCGCAGTACAAATAAAATCACACTAAAATATAAATTACAAATATATAAAATATAAGATAATTACATAATCTAAATACAGAGCCAGATGTAAATTACCCTAATTCGCCTTAAATGCCAGATCAAACAAATACGTTCTTAAACGTGATTTAAAAGACTGAATGGAATCTGATGCGCGAATATGAAGAGGGAGAGTATTCCATAGCCTGGGTGCAGCAACGGCAAAGGCACGGTCTCCTCTGGTCTTCAGCCGAGACCTAGGTTGCACCAAGAGCAGTTGGCCATGATCTTAGTGCTCTCTGAGGGCTGTACAGACAGAGGAGATCAGCTAAGTAGTCAGGTGCCATATTGTTTAAAATTTTATAAGTAAACAATAGAATTTTAAAATCAATTCGATATTTGATAGGAAGCCAGTGTAAATTTTTCAGAACAGGGGTGAAAGAGTCAAACTTTCTAGTGCCGGTCAAGAGACGTGCTGCGGCATTCTGGACCAGCTGCAGACGCTGCAGAAGAGAAGATTGTAGACCCAAGTAGAGTGAGTTACAATAGTCCAGTCTTGACGTAATGAAAGCATGAATGAGTTTCTCCATATCTTTGTGTGGTATGTAGGGTTTAGCCTTAGAGATTAGGCGTAGTTGATGAAAGCTAGTTTTTACCACAGTAGAGACCTGTTTGTCAAGTTTGAAGGAACTATCCATGAAAACTCCAAGATTCCTGGCAGTATCAGTGAGGTAGTTAGCAACAGGCCCAAATGTGTCAGTCAATTGTCCCAGAGGCATATTTCGGTCAAAAACAATAATTTCTGTCTTCTTTCCATTTAAAGTAAGAAAGTTACGTATAACCAGTCCTTGACATCACTCAGACAGTCAAACAGAGGATGTGGTGAGGATAAAGCATCCCCAGTCAGGTGAAGGTAGATTTGAATATCATCAGCGTAACAGTGAAAAGAAACATTGTGTTTTTCAAAAATGGAGCTCAAGGGCAACATATACAGAGAAAACAACACAGGACCCAGTACCAAGCCCTGGGGCATAAAGCATTCATACAGATAAGTTATTCTTTATCCAAGATCCAGTTTTTACTTTACAAATCTGTATGTTACAGATGATCTGCCTCTAACACAGATGCCCTTTGCAGTGAACTCTGGGGCTAGCCTGACACTTTCTTTCTCACCTATCAATCATCTTCTTAGTTACTGTTAATTTCAGTTTCTTTAAAAGCTGGAAGCAATAAACCCAAATTAAATTATAGAAACCATACCATATCGAATCCATTTGAATAACTTTGGATGCAATTGTAAGCAGATTGAATACTACATCAGAAGTTGCATTATCATATGTCCACTTTATTTTCATAGTAATGTGTCCTGTACTGTCTCTTAATCAAAGGGCCCAGTATACTGTGTTGGTTCCTGCCCTGTGGAATACAGAGGTCCAAGACTGGGAGCTTAAATGCATGAACAGCCTGGAGCTGGATGAAAGCCACAATGAACCAAAAGCAGGTACTCATGCACTCACAACCAGAACATGTTTTGTTAGGCAGAAACTTACAAAGCAGAGGGACACTTTGGGGCACTCTGCAAATAGCCTTTCAAATTCTTGTAACTCATTCATCACTTAACCTTTAGTGGCACACATGCTGATCCTGTTACTTACACACACACACACACACACACACACACACACACACACACACACACACACTTTATTCACAAACCTGTTTGTGAGAACTCTGCTACAACAGGGTGAAAACAGTTGCCCCTTGTTCACCTCAGTCCCTTTTTTCCTACAGTTTACCGCTTTATAAATGTTAAACTGCTTGTTAGGTTTTTGTCTCCTACTGAAGGGCTTTTGAATGTCTGTTGTTTTGCTGCTTGCCACAAACAAATCAAAATATTTAGCTTTTATGGAAATGTTCAAATTAAAGTAAATATATATGCTGGTAAGGCACACTCTGACTCTGGGTGTCAGTTGACATCTTATAGAAACTGATTTTTAAAAAAAAAGAAAAGGCTTCTCATGTGTGCATGCGTGTGTCAGTTCAGCTGTCCCTGGTATAACTGAACATAACAAAGGAGCTTATCTCTTTTGAAGGTTGTTCAGGTATCACCTCCACAAGACATGGAAACCCCTCACCACTGGAGTCTCATCTTCGCAAAAGACTGTTAAGAGTGTGTATGTGTGTATTTGGGGTGCATCCTGACAGACTCAGAAAGGCTAAGAGATGAGTCACATGTTGGTGGCTGCAGGGCTGTTTGTCAGTGTAGTGGGGAAAGCAGAAAGAAGGGCG